GCACCATCTAGTTCTTCTGGTCTCACAGTCGTATAGGCTGCAGATTGGATGGTGTACCAGTTGCTAGGACTAAGTATTTCCATGAATTTTGGTTTTCTTCATTCTTCTTTGCACTGGATGAGGAGAGACCCATCGTTGCATCTAGATGGCAGCTTGCTAGCTTTTTAGATCTCAGTCGCTACTTGCCAAAGTCCCCTCTTGATAGCATATCTAAAGTACATGAGACAAAGTCTCGCCATCCTCACTTCTAAGCATTATGGCTGTACTTCTTCCATGACAGTTTGTTCATTCTTCTGGTAGTTTATGGCATATCCAGTATTCTTCGCCAACACTGTAATTCCAATGTATCAATTCTTATTCACTCTTCCTTATTCCAGATTTCGCATGCATAGGTGGCGATTGAAAAATACCATGGCTTGGTCTAGGTGCACCTTAGTCCTCAAAATGATATCTTTGCTTTTTAATACTTTAAAGAGGTCTTTTGCAGCAGGTTAGCCCAATGCATTATGTCATTTGATTTCTTGACTGCTGCTTCTATGGGTGTTGATTGGGTGACCATGCTGGTGGTATAGCTTCCAGCATCACAGTAACATGCAAGCCACCTGACTACAACAAACTGACAGACGAGTGGTGGCTTTGTGGATTAGGAACATGTAATCGTGGCCTGGAATGGCGTAGGATCTTGGGATCATCATTAAAGAATCAACTCAATGATGTTCACACCAGCAGTCATCAGAATGTAGTGATTGAAATTGTGTTAACACCCAGGTCCAAAGAGAAAGGAGAGTCTGGTAAGGAGAGGAAATAAGTACAGAACCCTTGGTTCAAAACCCATGAAGGATTTTCAGCCTTTTGAAAGCTATTTATTGGAAGCTCCTGCCAGAGGCTGAGGTGTGTCTGTGTATGTAGTTGGGTGTGGAGAGCTTTCTAGAGCTGAAGGGCAGTCTGTTCTGGTCCCACGTTTGCAAAACACACTACCTACGTGCTGACCTGAGTATAAGCATGAGGGTGTGAGGTTTGTTTTCTACCCCACCTAATTTGGTGAGGTGTAGACTTTTCACCCAGGTTCCACGTTGGCTCTTCTATTTCCATGAAACTTATTCCTGTTCACTAAGGTCTGTAGTGGGTTGTGATAATAAATAACGCTATGAAATCAGAGATGGTCTTTTTCTGTTGAGGGCTATACTTTTGGAGGAATCATCAATACCTTGAATAGTACCTTTTTTTTTTTTTTTAAAAAAAAAAAGGTCCTAGTTTCTGAGTATTTCGTATATGCTTAGCACTGCATGAAGGTAATCTGGTGACGTGGTGCCTAAGGCATTTGACTGCTAACCAGAAGGCTGGTGGTTCAAACCCACCAGCCAGACACTCCTTAGAAGGAAGATTGGGCAATCTACTTCAACAGTGATACCGCCTTGGAGACGCAAGGAGGGGTTACTATGAGTGGGTACTGACTTGCTAGCAGTGCGTTTGCTTTGTTGTGGTTTAGCACTGTATGAAGTGCTTTATGAGCCATT